GGGTGGGAGCTGAGGGTAGTCAGCTCAGACATGGAGAGAAAGAAATGGTGTATTTCTGAGGGAGATCCAACTGCTCTGATACAGACTGTGAAGGGGAACATGAAGAGCAGCAAGGATGAGGGTACCTGGGATACATGTCATGCTATGACCAGTCCATGCACTCTTGGATCTCCTATCTATCACTTTGGGTGGGAGCTGAGGGTAGTCAGCTCAGACATGGAGAGAAAGAAATGGTGTATTTCTGAGGGAGATCCAACTGCTCTGATACAGACTGTGAAGGGGAACATGAAGAGCAGCAAGGATGAGGGTACCTGGGATACATGTCATGCTATGACCAGTCCATGCACTCTTGGATCTCCTATCTATCACTTTACCAGCGGCATTAGGCAGAATAATCACAGAACCCACAGTGAAAACAAGGGAACCTAAGAATCTTTCACCACCTTTCCATTCCTCTCAGGCACTGACACTGTCCTCTCCTGGAACAGGATCTGGGAGCGCAGATTAGGCAGAATAATCACAGAACCCACAGTGAAAACAAGGGAACCTAAGAATCTTTCACCACCTTTCCATTCCTCTCAGGCACTGACACTGTCCTCTCCTGGAACAGGATCTTGTCCTGCAGATCGCTGGGTGCACAGGGGAGGCAGCGGTGCCAGGGGAGAGCTGAGGGCCCTGCCCAGGAGCTCAGCCTTGCACAGACACATCCCCTCCCTGCCCGGGGTTCTTGCCCAGCCAAGGCAGCTCCCTGCACCAGGGTGTCTTGCACAGCACAGAGGTACAAGGCACTGTCAGAGAGCTCGGCTTCCTCCAGCTGCAGGAGGCTGTATCTGCCCGTGGTGTTCAGCAACGTGGTGAGACGGCCGCTCTGCTTGGAGCCAGCTCCTGCATGATAGGAGAGCAGCTGGGGAGCTTGGCCTTTCTTCTGCTGGTACCAGAGCAAGCCTCGAAAAAGAGAGGTCTTGTATGTGCAGGTGGTCTGGAAGCTGTCTCTCTGGTTGACTATGACTTGTTCTTCTTTCTGGGTCACAGTGACCTGCCCCATAGAGCCTGGAAGAAAGCAAAGGTCAGCAGCTCTGCAGGGAAAGGCTTCGAGAAATATATTAGGGGTGGATGCCAAAGCCTGGTGAAGAAGACACCTGGTTCCTGCCTAGCAGGAAAACACTGAGGCTTCTCGATTGTCAGGCTGAGAGTAGTTTTGGGTAGGAGTTTGGATCTCTCAGCACAGCATGGATCCTTAGCAGAGCTGTGCTGTGTCCCTGCTCTTCCTCCCTGCTCTGTCTTGTACTGCCCAGGGAAAAGCCTGTCCTGCTAGACCTTGTGTGCTGGGACCAGCACCCCTCCAGCAGGCTGAGGGGTCCAGGAAGCTATGGCAAAAAGGTTCATTGTCCTTCCGCATCCCTGCCATCTGGGAGGGCCCCGAGGTACTTTATTCCATGTGGTGCGGAGCTGAATGTTGGCAAGAGGGTGCCCTGGCTGTTTTAACAAGCAGGAAAAAACTGGAGGCCAAGGCAGCCAGCAAGGAACTACTGCTAGGCGGAATATTTAATGTCCCTGCGGGAGCCTTGAAAGGATGTGCTAATCAGAATTGGAAATGGAGAAATGTGGGACTACAGACAGAGCTGAGATGTCCCTTGGTGATAGCAGGTGGGTGCAGAGAGAGATGGATGGAAGGGGAGAGAAAGATGAAGAAGAGGGCTAAGCTCCTCTGAGAGAACTCTCTTCTCTAGCTTCTCTTCTCCTTTCTAACAGAAAGACACTCTTGAGAGAATCAGTGCAAACCCACAAGTGTCACCCAAGATTTCCCAGCTTTCTCCTGTTACTCAGGGGACTTTCTCCACATGGACCTGATAAGGCTGTTAAGAGTTTCCTGGGGAGAAAAGAAACCTGCATTGATCAGAAGCCTGGACTTACCCAGCAGCTGCCCCAGGAGGGCACTGAAGATGAGGTATCCTTGGTGCATGTCGAGACCACCAGCCTGTTTGTGGAGTCAGCAGCAGAAAAGCACCTCCCAGCCCTGAGATAACAGAGCTGCCGGAAATGACTCTGTTGGGGGAGCAGAGGAAGCAGTGAGGAAGAGAAATGATCTATTCTTCCTGTGCCTGAAATGCTCCTTCTGGGCCTCTCCCTCCTTCAGCAGCAGCTCCTGAGCCTCCCTCGCAGCAAACCCTCAGCCTCCTCAGCAATCCGCTGCTCTTCTGCTCCCCCACTGCTGGGTCATTTGGAGGTCAGAGCTTTCACCCCCACAGAGGTTTCTCATCTTCTTCTGGGACCCTCAGCTCTCTGGGGACACTGCTGTGTCTTCCGTGAACAGAAGTCTCCTGCACTTCTGTCACTTCTTCTCTGTCCTTCCCCATCTGCCTGGGAGCGAATCCTGGGAACAACCCCCTAGAGTTTCAGCACAGGCAGCTTTTGCACCAGACGCTGAACCCAGACTTGAGGTCTGCCTCATGTTCTGTACGTTGGAGTTCAGGCATCTCAAGCGGCACGACGTTACCTATGATAGCCCCTTTTATCTTCTTGCATTTTCTCCAATTAATGGTTTTTTAATGACTGGGGTGCCATTGCTACCGGGACCCATCTTCAGCCACGCTCCATCCTCCTTGGTAAACAAAAAATTGTCCAAGTTTCCATTGGCATTTCTGACTTCCAACAAGTATCTGTTGCCTTTTCCTCTATCCCTGTTCTCAAGAAGAGTTTGGCTCCATCTGACCCTTTCTGCTCTACGCAGGTGCTAGAAGCATCAGAAAGGTCTCATTCAACCTTCTCTTTGGGAGGTAGAAGAAGGCCAGTGCTCTCAGCTTCTCTACAAAGTTTGTGTTAGAGAAATACAGCACTGATAATTTGGAAGGAACCTCGGGAAGTCATCTGGTCCAACGCCCTGCTCAGGGAAGCTCACCTAGCGCTGTCTGCCCAGACCATGTCACATGTTGAATGCCAGTAAGGACGGAGACTCTACAACCTCTCTGGGTATTCTGTGCCAGTGCTCTATCACTTTCACAACTGAAAAGGGTTTCCTGGTGTTCAGACAGAACTTCTGTGCTCCACTTTGCACCCACTGCCTCTTGCCCTGTCACTGGGCATCACAGAGAAGAGCCTGGCTCTGCATTCTTCACATCCTCCTTTCATACATGGGTACACAGTGATGAGATCTGCCCCGAGACTTCTCTTCTCTGTACAGGACAGTCTCAGGTCTCTCACCCTTTCTCCCTGTGAGTGTTGTTCCATTTGAGAAGAGAAGATGAGAAGACAAAATGAGTTTATAAACACAGGAGTGCAAGACATGGGATGTTCAGGAGAAGCAGTAGAGGCAGGGAAAGGGAAGTATCAAGGCACTTTGGTCTAGAGCAAGCATGGGAGCACAACCTGACACAGGGCAGAGACGGGCCGAGCCAAGTGAACGTGTATCTGATCTGGTGCTCATCTGGCCATGCCTGTTGCTCCACCTTGTTTGTCTACCTGACACTAGGTCCCTGGAAACACAGTTCTGCAGTGCAGCTGGGACAGGGAGCAGGGCTGATCCTTCACGCAGTGACTCTGAAGCCTCTGACCATGGGCTTTGAACAGCTCTGTCAGCCACTTGAGCCACACAGAGTTCCGTGGGGACTGGCTGAACTGCACACTCTCTTCCCAGAGGCTTCCTTCCAGCTGTCACTCACCCCAGACAACCAGATTCACAGGGCAACTCACAAATTTGTTTCCCAACCAATCCTCAAGTGAGAATATAAATCCCTTCAGGCTGTGGACAGTGATTGCTGTCCACCTGCAGATCCTGTGCCCTGTCCACCTGCACACCAATGACACTAGGGAGAGGAAAGCCATACTCAACAGCAAAGGCACAAAAACCACATCCCATAGCATTTCTCACATCAATGGGATGATGCTTCAGGAGCAACAGATGCGAACTCACAGGGTGGACTCCATCTGGAAAGCGAGCACCCACCAGCTTTCATGGAGCTTTCTTGCCCTCTTTTCATCATCAAAGGCCCTGGATCTAGACACAGCTGTAAAAGACACACTGCCACGTGTCTCAGAGCAGCACAGGCTGGGGAGGCAGAGGCCCAGCCTCACCACAGCCCCCAGGTGCCACTGCTGGGCAGGATGGGCTCAGAGCTCCATGCAAGCAGTGGCAGGGAGGGAACCACCCCTCAGAGCCCCCACCACGTTTCTGTGCACAGCTGCAAGCTCTGGGCACCAGGGTGGGCTCAGTGCACAGAAATAAGCAGCCCTGTCCTGGAGCTCCACATCCCGCACACACAGAAGCACCTGGGAGGTCTTCACAGACCACTCAGACGAGAGGTCTGTACCTGGTCTCCCACAGAAGCACCCAAAGGGGCTGGGCCTGGTGCTGCTGGTGCCAGTAGATGTAAGGATTGGCATCGCTGATGGAGAAGTTGCAGTGCAGAGTTGTGTTGTGTCCTGCCTGGACAGTCATTTCTGCTGGGAACTGGAGCACGAGTCCTTTTGAGCATGACCTGTCAAGCCAGAAAGGGCTTTCAGCTTTGTTTGACTGTGTCCCTGTCTGTTCATTACTTCATCAGCTTGCTCACTATGCCCACTTGCCAGCTCCTTTTTCCTTCCCTTGAAACCCTGAGCTCTTTCTCCCTATCTGCTTCTTTCTGCAGCTGCCAAAGACTCCTTATCCCTCCCCGCATCCTCCTGCTTTTCAGCCATGCTCACTGCTCTTCCAGTCCACTGATCTCTCCAGATCAGAGCTATGTTGACTGCTGGTCTTGCCTTCAGCAACAGAAAGCAGGAGCTGGCAGCATAGTATCAAACATGTTGAGGAGAAAAGCTCCTATAAGCCTCATTGCTCCACTCCCTCCAATCTTTCCCTCTCCCAGGCTTCGAAGGCATTACTAGCACACTCAGGAATTTTCTGTCCCTCACATATACGGCGAGCTCTTATTCCTCCTGTGATGCGCATTACTCAGGACACCTCCCAGATTCTTTCCTGTACCCACCTGCAGCCCCTGCTCTCCCTCCAGAAACACTCCCAGACACCCCAGGGACTCGGGACTCAACTCTCTCCACATCCACCATCAGCCCACACACTCTTGCCTCATTCTCCCCAG